CACGCACGCACGCACACACGCACACATGCACTTGGAATGACCTTCTATGATCGACGTCATACCATGGGTTGGCAAGCTAGTTTCATCTCTTCAGTCACATCTTTTCCGCGACGTTCCCGGCTGCCCTCGCAGGGGCCCAAGGTCACCCCTTTGCAGGGACATCGTCACCCCAACATCACCTGGTCTTCGTGGTCAGGACAGGTGATGTTGGGTCTTGGCCCGCTGCAATCATACATTCTTTTACGCTCAGGAACAGGGTCTTACACACACACGCGCACACGCAAGTGGCCTTATGAGGCCCCTATGAAGGCTTAGCAATCATTGTTCTCCTAATCATTCCAACATTGTCAAACTGCGCTCACGCATAGTAAGGGAGAGAGTGGCTGCAGCTTCGCCTGCGAAGCTCTCGACATCTCTCGACCTTGACCACGGATGCATACAAGGAGTGTGCCTCTCACCTCGTTGTGTACTCTATGTGTGCGTGCTCATCACTCTCGCATTTCAGTGCCCTGACTCCCTAAAGTCGGCTTCATTCATACACCACGAAAACGAGATGCCACATGAAGGGACGGGCATCTCCACTCGTGTGTGATTTTTTCGCACATGTGATCATCACCCCTTCATTTCACCGTCCTGTGTCTCTAACGTCTCCCTCACTCATGCTAACACAAAAACCACTTAACAGATCTTGCCGTTTTCTCTTGCCTGTCTTGGAATACATCGACCATCTGCCGTTTGAAGACGTTTCGGTTCGTCCATGTTAGAATGTGTAAACGTTGGGCAGTCTTGGGACATCTCTATGTTGGAATGCGTCGACCCTCGCAGCTCCATGACGTGTGTCTCATTTTGAGTGCTGCTGGACGAGACGACTGTGGCAGTTCGCAGGTTTGAACCGCAGCCTCCCATGTCGCGCCTTGCTCAAGGCCGAGAACTTCGCAGGCGAAGCCGCAGCCACCCCCTCCCTTGTGCTTGCATTGCCGGCCATAAGTTATGTATATAGGAGAGCACACTTCACGCATGCTGAAGCATTCCCCAACACAAGTTGTATACTAAAAAAAGCACACTTCACCCATGCGAAAAACATTTTGCAGAGCAGCTAGTATCGTAGATATCGTAACAGAGCATGGTTCGCCCATGGTACAGCATCCTCCAACGCAAGTGGTATAGTCGGCGAACCCATTGCACAGACAAGTTGCGTAGTCGAAGATGTCGCACATAGGCGCACGAGTGGACAGTGTTCCATCGTGTTTCAACATTTATGCAGGGGCATCGTGGAGAATCTTTTGCGTTCATATGCGCTCATCCTTCTGGCCACCGTGCCTGCTACATAAAACTGGAAACTCACGACTGGCACCGTGACAGATATCCAGCCGAAGTGCACATTTGGGATGACTTTCAGTTGACCGACGTCATACCATGGGTCAGCCACTTGGTTTCCCTTTTTCAATCACATCTTTGCCGTGACCTTCCCAGCGGCCTTCGCAGGGGCAAAGGGCAAGGTCACCGCTTTGCACTTGCTTTTTCTACCCCATTATCATTTGGTCGTCGTTGGCCAGGACAGGTCATATTGGTCCTGGCCCCTGCAGTCTGAAATTTTGTGACTTCCAGGAACAGGGTTGCAAACCCACACGCAAAGTGTTGGTGCCAGATCTTCCTTGCCGGGCCGGGGCGGCTGCGGACCAGTGCCGCGCCAGGAAAGCTCGTACACAGCGAAGCCGCTCCTTCGCCGGCACATGGGGCCGGGTCTGGCGTACGGAACAGCAACATGCATGGCGCCAGCTTCCAGTCTGCTTTCGTGTCTGGCAGCGTCGCATAACACCGCGCCGCTTGTGCCACGTCTGGCGTCCTCGCCTCCCGAGCCGTTCCAATCGAGCGGGCCATCGCGCGGGTCTGCCAGGAAAGGCTGAGCAGCCGGAGCCCGCGTTGGTCGTAACATTGCTCTGTCGGCTATGAACCTCGATGTGCGTATCCACGACGGCCGGCGCATCGAGGTCGTAGGCAACGGCCTCCCGCTCTGGATCGCTTGCCCAGCTTGCCGTCGACGCTGCGCAGGGTAGGGCTGCGCGAAGGGTGCTTGCAATCACGTTCCCCGAGCTGCCGCTGCACACTGAGCCCTGTGCTGCCGGACCAGCTCTGGCTCTGCACGAACTCCTCGCAGACGCTCGTTGGACCAGCGGGCGTCCGTCGTGGGCCACCCGTAGCGGCAGAGTAGGATGTAGGTGCTGACTGCGGTTGACGAGTGGAGAAAGGTCAGCGGGAAAGAAGAAAGTTTGAGAGATAGGGGCTCGGGGATTAGGATGGGATTAGGTTTGAGGGCCAGTAGCTTCTTAGACCAAATTCGTCAAGCAGCCGCATCGATGAAATTTGCTCAATTCAGCAATCAGACGCAGCGAAAGAGGCATCAATAATGAGGCTTCGCCATAGCATCAGTGGATCTCAATTACAGTTTGAGAATGGACACATTTATTTCACGGAGTGTATGCAAAGCAGTCCCCCAATACTAAGAATTCACCTGATGTGTGCGCTTTTTCCTGCAGCAACGGACCCCGTACACTGCAGAGCAAGGAAGGGGACACGCACGTCGCATGGCTGTTGCTGCTTTACACCGCGGCCCCGCGAGCCCAGTTTGCGTTGCGTGCGTAAGTTTGCGCCCGGGCTCACGCGTGAGTTTTTGCGGTTGCACATGATGCGGCTGTGCTCGACACCTTTAGCACATTGCTTTGTGCTGAAAAGCGTCCCTCACGCCCACCTGCTGCAGCCCGTGTTGCGCAGCTTGCTTTGCGTCATGGCGGCCTTGGCCTGTGTAGTGCCGCTGCACGCGCCACCTGCTTTCTGGTTGTCGTGGGCTGATGCATTCATTGTTCTGTCCGGGCACTCTTCCTGCAAGGTCTGGCACGGGTTTTGGATACCCAGAACTTCTCTGGACCTGCTCGAAGCCACTGTGCTCGTCGCGGCCGGCTTCCACACCCCTCCTTGCTACACAGGTCCGCTTCCTCCCGGGCGGCCGTTTGGAGGTATGCTACAACGCAAAGCTATGGAAGCCTTCAAGACCACAGGCTCCGAGCAGTGGCCGCCGCGCCTCTGCCAGTGGCTAGCCGCCTCGCTAGTTCACACCTGTCGGGACTCTGCTACGACTGCTTTGGTGGGGGACCAGACAGAGCTACAGGCCCAGACCCGGGCTACACGGTCAACTCGCCGGAGGTGTCTAGACTACAAGGCGGAGTCGGGCCGCCTAGGGACTGCCAGCAGCTAGGAGCCACCAAGGACTTCCACGATGGGGGGGGCCTCTGCTGCCCTGGACGCTGGAGGGCGGACGCTAGGTCCCTGGCTTCTGGCCCTTCCTGGGACTGGCTCTTGGAAAAGTCCCGACAGTTGGTTTTGGACAAGCTAGGCATGCAGGACACCAATGAGCAGGAAAGAGAGGCTTTCCGGATGGCGGCAGGTGGCGAGCAAGGCTGCCTGCCGCCTGGCTAAGGACGAAGATCTGCACCACCAGCTAAGGCGACTCTGGCAGAATTGGCTAGAAGCCCAGGACCTGGGGGAGCCTGACTTGCTACACAAAGCAAAGGGCCAGCCTCTCTTCCTCCGTCTGCTACGGGCCTTCTAGAAGCCGCCGACGACCCGGATAGTGAGTTCCTCCGGAGAGCATCCTGGAGCCGCTGCCTAGGACTCCCCACGTCTTCCCTGGGCTAGCCTGGGTTCCCAACTACGCCTTTGTCGAAGAGCACCCGATGGCTAAGATGACGCTCCGGGAATTCAAGGAGCGCTACGGGGAGAACAGAGCTATCGCTAGCCTAGCGGTCATCGTGGAGGATGAGCTAAAGGATAAGAAGCCCATCATCCACGACGCTACTCACGGGGTCCGTGTCAACCACAGCATAAAGTGCCGAGACAAGATCCGGGCTCCGGGCGCTAGAGAGAAGAAACAGCTACTCCGAGAAATGATAGATGAGGAGACTGTCGCTTTCTCGGTGGTGGGGGATATTGCTAAGGCCCACCGTCGCGACAAGCACCAGGCCTCCGAGCACGGCTTCTTGGGGTGCCAGCTAAGCACGGAGGAGACGATTCCGTTGGACCCGGACAGCCAGCTAGTGTACGTGAACCTGGTTGAGACCTTCGGTCTCTCGTGCGCTAGCTACTGGTGGACGAGGATCGCCGCCTGCTGAGTGAGACTACCCCTAAGCTACCTCTTTCTAGCGGCCCTGGGCTATCCCTTCAAGTGGCCCAAGACCAGGGGAGGTTTCAGGGTTGAATGGCTAGGGATGGAGACACCGACTACCCGCGCCATCAGCTAGGCCTCTCGAAGAAGCGGGCAGACTGGCTCGTGGAGTGGCTAGAAGACAAAGCGGTGAGAGGAAAGGTCTCGGCTAAAGACTTCGCACAGGGACTGGGGCGACTCGGCTTTGCAGCTATTGCACTGGACTGGGAACGCCCGTTCTTGGGTCCGCTACACGCCTGGGCCTCTGCAGTCCAAGCTAAAGTGGGCGTGCTAACCATGCCGACCATGCTGCGAGCCCTGTGCAGGTGGCTCGCCGGGAGGCTATCCACAGGCGGGAGACTGCAGACTCCCGCGCTACTAGTGGATGGGGAAGCCCCTCTGAGTTTCTTCACAGACGCTAAGGCGGAGGCCGGTCGTGCCTGGATAGGGGGTTTTCTGGAGCTGGTACCGGGGTGCCAGGGGCCGTGATTCTCGCTAGAGGCCCAGGAGAGCTGGGCACCTTGGGCCTTCGCGAAAGGGGACCCGAACAAGGTCATCGCAGTCCTGGAACTTCTAGCCACCCTGGTAGCAGTGAAGCCATGGGTACCGGAAGGCTCCGAAAAGAAAACCTCCCGCGTTGCTATTCGCGGCTACACGGACAACAAGTCCAACGAGGCACTGCTAAGAAGGGCGATGACAACGAAGTTTCCATCGACTTTGCGATTGATGGAGACAGCGGAAGAGCTGTCAGCTAAGAACGGCGAACTTCAGTTCCAATGGGTCCGGAGAGATCTGAATCAGCTAGCGGACGACTTGACGAACGAGAACTTCGATAGCTTTATCCCGAATTTCGGATCAAGCTAGAAGGTTCGTCGCTACAGTGGAGGATGCTGGACCAGCTTCCCGAACACTCGTCTAGCTACTACCAGGAGCTAGGAGTGCGGAAGAGGGAGAGAGCGGCTAAGCCGATGCGTTTCTCCCGCAAGGTCCGGAAGCTAGGGGCCTGGTAGCCCATCGGCTTCGCAAGGAGATTGGCTAGCAAAGAACGCTAGAGACCTTCTCCGGGCTAACAGGGATCCGGTCCACACTTTGGAAAAAGAGTTCCGTGCTAGCGAGTGTGCAGTTCTGCAGTGCGCCTCTCTCTGTCTCTCTCTCTCCCTCTCGCTAGCCTTAAGTCAACCGGTGGAATTCTTGGGGAGGTGGCGGGATAATCTGTGAGCTAGTGTACGCAATCGTGCCTGTGGTGCGACAGTGTATGATAGCTCGCTAATAATCTCAACATAGCACATCGAAGGTGTCGTGCTAAGGCAGGTGTCGAAGGTACCGGCTATCAGTTAGGTTTTTACTCCGAATGGCCGTGCCCATTTCGGCTAGGAGGCCTCCTAACGGGAGTTTATTTTGAAGAGCCCACCCATCCTACCCTGGAGATTGGCTAGCGAAGAACGCTAGAGACCTTCTCCGGG